AAGGACACTGTAATTGAACCAATGGTCTCACTTGGAGGTCTTACTGCTCCCTTCAGGTAAAATCTCACAGCAACTTAGTTGAGCAGTGAAAAGTCCAAATTTTGATATTTTTTTTTTTTTTTTTTTTTTTTGATACAGAGTTTGACTGTGTTGCCCTGGGTAAAGTGCCCTGGTGTCATCAGAGCTCATAGCAACCACAAACTTGGGCTTGAGCAATCCTCTTGCCTCAGCATCCCAAGTAGCTGGGACTACAGGCGTCCCCCACAAGGCCCACCTAATTTGTTCTGTTTTTAGAAGAGATGGGGTCTCACTCTAGCTCAGGCTGGTCTAGAATTCCTGAGCTTGAGTAATTCACCTGCTTAGCCTCCTGGAGTGCTAGGATTATAGGTGTAACCCATTGTGCCCAGCCTCTGAGATACTATTCTTAACAATTTGAAATGTGGTAATTCATTTTCATCTTTGCTAAACAGAATAATGCTTTTCTCAGAGATGTATATGTAGCATAAGGTCTTTGAAATTAGAGAATGTTTGTTTCATATTTACCTTTAAATGTTTTGTTATTTAACAAAAGCATCCTGTAAATTACTGGAAAAGCCATCATGACAAGAAATGAGAAATGTCCGTTTCCCACTGAGGGCATGAGTGAGCTAATGAGTAGTACACTATAAAACGAATCGTTCACAGAAAGTATTTATGGCATTAAGTCATAATATCTGTAAACTATTATTACTAAATTTATATTTTGGGTTAAACTGTTTCAAATGTTATTAACATTTCTAGTCATGTTATGGTAAAATATATACTGGGCTGACAGCAATACTAATACATGATCATGAGTAATGGGAGAGGGGCAGAAATTAAGTATATAATCCCTAAAACATATGAGGTTGGACAGTTAAGTTTGTGAACTCATCCTGGAAAAAGTACTATATACCTGATTGCTGAATATCACTATAGTCACCTTTGAAGTACTTCCCTTGGGAAGTTATGCACCACCATCAGTGCCTGTTCACCCTTCAAAAGAATTTTGGAACTTTTACTGGAATAGCCATCAGAGCTGCCGTCATATGAGGTTGATCACTTAAGTTCATGAAGTCATTCTAGAAAAAGTGCTGGGTACTTCACCTCTATCACTGGTCACTATACTTCCATAGGAAGCTGTGCACTAACACACACCAGTGCGTAGTCCACCTTTCAAAGTACTTTTTGTAGGAGGAGTTTGTGAACTTAATTGTCAGACAGCTCTGGTAGCCATTCCAGAAAAAGAGTTCCAAAATTACTTTGAAGGATGAACTAGGTGCCAGTGTTGGTGCATAGCTTCCCAAGGGGAGTATTTCAAAGGTGTCTGTAGTGATACTGAGCCATGAGTTGAAACTGAGTTGTCTAACCTTGTATGTGTACTCTAAGATTCATTCTATTTAAAAACACTCTTACATTCAGAATAGTTTAGATTTAAAATACTTTAATACTATGTGAAAATAACCTCAGGAAAGGCTAGGAGTAATTTATGTTAGCATAAAAAGTTTATTAATATAGACATTTTTAATAATGAACAACCTACTATAAGAAAAATTATGTCAATATTTAGATGCTATTTTTATTTTTTCATATTTAATAAAAATTAAGTTCATTTTTATTTATTTATTTTATTTACTTTTTGAGACAGAGTCTCACTTTGACACCTTTGGTAGAGTGCCATGGTGTTATAGCTCACAGCAACCTCAAACTCTTGGGCTTAACTCAAATTTTTGGGATTGTCTTGCCTCAGCCTCCGTAGTAGCTGGGACTGCAGGTGTCTACCACAATACCAGGCTATTTTTAGAGAGGGGGTCTTGTTCTTGCTCAAGCTGATTTCAAACTCCTAAGCTCAAGCAATACATCCCACGTAGTCTTCCAGAGTGCTGAGATTATAGGATGAGCCACCATGCCCAGCCTTAGATACTGTTTTTTAGAAGGATGAATTTAAAACACATAGTGAAGTAGTTTTTCTAACCTAACTAAATAATTAGGGAAAAGTAATATGGCATTCCTTAGAAAATTCAGGTGACAATGGACAGGGGTTCAGAAAGTTACATCTGAGTATGAATTTTCAATGTAAAAATCAGACAAGAATTCATTCTAGATATATGTGAGGAATAGTATGATTTTTATTTTATAGTGTAATTGTGTCCATGACTTAGGGAGGAATAGTGGAGGTTGGTTGAATGTCTATACTAGAGAAAGAAGACCTTCCATGAAAAACATTTAGTAATTAGCTCATGATCATTTTAAAAATAATGTTTGGTAATAATGTTTAGTAATATTTAAGAAATTTTTTATTACCATATGTGAGTCATATTTGAAAATCTTTTACTCTTTTTTTATGTTTTAATCAACTAGGTATTTACAAGCAGATATAGAAGCCTTTGACATCAGAGAACTAACACCCAAATTTGATGTTATTCTTCTGGAACCCCCTTTGGAAGAATATTATAGAGAGACTGGCATCACTGCTAATGAAAAATGCTGGACTTGGGATGATGTATGATGAAACTTTCTACATTGTAATGAATTATTTGATCAGAAAGTGAGATTATAAATATCCCTAGTTTTGCAGGAATTATAAATATAGGTTTACAGTATATATTGCTGGAGGTTCAAGTTACATTAGCAAATAGTACATTATCTTTAATTTTATTTTTCTTTCTAATGCAAAAATTAAGCAAGTAGTGAGTAGGCTGTAGAAGACTCACAATTCCAGTCTTAAAGTCCTTGCATATATAGCTAGAAAAAAATCTCAAAGCTAACAGAATAATTGTAACTTATTTTGCACTTGATTAGTATCAGTAACATCTAAGTCCTGACCTGAGCAATCTCTCACCTTAGCCTCCTAGATGCCATGGTAAGAGGCAAGAGCCACTGTGCCTAGCCTGTGTATATACAGTAGAACTTCTGTAAGTCGACCACCCAAGAGACTGTAACAAACCGGTCCACATATAGAGGTGTTCAACATGGAACTAGGCCTACTACTGTACATGTGGTACATGTCTAGTTTATTAAAATTAGGTCAACTTAAGGAGGTGGCCAACTATGGTGGTTCTACAGGATATAAAATTACGATTGCTACTGTTTAAAGACCTTGTAGGGTTAGTGAGGTGGCTCACACTTATAATCTAGCACTCTGGAATGCTGAGATGGCAGGATTGCTTGAGATCAGGAATTAGAGACCAGCCTGAGCAAGAGCAAAACTCCATCTCTACCATCAGTAGAAAAAACTAGCTAGGGATAGTGGTGCCTATAGTCCCAACTACTTGGTAGGCTAAGGCAAGAGGATTGCATGAGCCCAAGAGTTTGAAGTTGCAGTGAGTGGTAATGACTGATGACACCATTGTACTTTACTCTGGGTCAGAGAGAGTAAGACTCTGTCTCAAAAAAAAAAAAAGAACGTATAGTATAGTATGGATGCAAAGGATATATAAACGCAGAATTTCAGTGCAGTATAATGTGGTAAAGTTATATATTCCTGAATAGAATTAAGCAAGCTGATAACTTCAGTTAGTTACGGTAGGTATGTTTTACTGATCAAGAACAAAAATAATACAGCTATTGAGTACCACTCTGTTCTGGACAATGTGCTAGGTAGTTGAGATTCACAGATGAATAAGACTTCTTATTTTACCTTAGGAATGTACGGTTTAATTGAACAAACGTTGACCTGAACTGATAATTACGTTATTTTGTTGGTTGCGTAATGAAAGACTGTGTAGGATGATACAAGAATAACTGACCAAGCCTGGGAAGATGGGACATATGAACATAGAAGAGATGACAGCTGAATAATTATAAATATTAATAGATTAGTTGGAATTGACCAGATAAAGAAAGATTGGGGTAGGGGTTCCAAGCAGAAGGGATGGAAGAAAAGCCAATATCTGGTTTCTGAGTGGGGAGGCAATGTACAGGTCGGTATTGTTAAAACGTGGGTTAGGACTGTCTTGAAATGGGATCTTAGGAACTTGTCCTTTTATTCTGAAGCTGGGAGGGGTTTAAACCAATTTAGTAAAATGGTCAAATTGGTGTCTGGAGACTGGACTAGAGGGAAAGAATTCTAGAGAAAGGGGAGCAATTAGAAGACTCTTACAGAACTAGTTCTGAGAAGAAGGAACCCTGAATTAAAGTGAGTAAAAATAGAAAGAAAGTGATAATTCAGTAGTGTTTAAGAGATACACTTGGTAAGGTTGAGTGATTGAGATGGGGGCAAGAGCTCAAGGTTTTTATCTTGAGTTAAATGGACTGAGTTACTATCAACTGAGTAAATCAAGGAAGAGAAGCAGAAATAGAGGGCTCAGATAATATTGATAATATTGATTTGGGGGCATATGTTAGATACTCAACTGGAAGAGGTAAGAGGAATATGAAACTCAAAGGGCTCACAGATCTGGTCTCAAAATACACATTTTAGAGAGTTATCACATTAAACACATGCAGATAGTTAAGTTTGTCCTGGAATTGTGTCTCAAGTTAAAATATGGACTGACAATAAAACCTGGAGAAGCATTAGATCTAAGGAGCATGTATAAAAGAAATATAAAAAACATAGATCAGAGATGAATGAGAACCAGGAGAGTAGGAATGTCACAGAAACCAAGGGAATAGAGAATTTCAAGGAGAGTATAATCACAACATGAGGTCATTAATTAGAGACCAGCCTGAGCAAGAGCTCAGGGATAAGTATTACTGATACTAAGAATAGTTAACTACCATTAATGCAGAAAGTCACATGTAGTAATTCAAAGTATTACTGATATTAAGAATAGTTAACTACCATTCCAGAAGAGAGGTAGGCTAAAGAAAGGATTGAAGCTATAAGGCTGATGTTTCATAGGAAATCTCTTTGAATCCTTGCATGTGACTTTCTGCATTATTGGTGGTTAACTATTCTTAATATCAGTAATACTTACTTGTCAAGATTTGGCTTTAGTTCTTTCTTCTTGAAGGTTTTTCTGTTACCTTTAAGATTCCTAGTATTTTTATTTACTTTATTTTATGGTTCTTATGATGTAAAAAAGAAATCTCCCCTCCCCCCTGTTTATAAGTATTATTTGTACTTATTGTTGAAAAATCAGAAAAGTATACAGAATATAGTATTCTCAAAATTTAGAATTAAAGACTTCACATTCTTGCTATTATTACTTGCTGAGCAGTTTTCCCAATGGGTTATACAAATTTGCATTCCTTCCAGTAGTGTTTAGAAATGTCTGGTTCCTCATATTCTTGTTGAAATTGAGAATTAATATTAAAAACTATTTTTGGTCAAAAGAGAAGAAAATTTAAATAATTTATCTTACTATGTCTTATTTAATAGTTAGATTAAAACTTGTTTTCTCTACCTAATTTGTAAAATTTGGTGAGAAAGGCACAGAACTTCAACTATATATGCCTGAGTAATACAGTTTTTGAAATAAATTCCATTTTATATGGAAATTCTTGATTTCAATTTATTTTCACGGAATTTCAACTCTGACTGACATATGAAAAGTTTTGTCTGGACCCTAAGTCCTAAACTCTTACCCCATGTGATATTATTCTAAGGAAAATACCAGTAATTAATATAATAAATAAAGTGTAAATAAGAAAAGTATTTTAGTTTCATAAGAATTCTTTTTCACATTAGTGACTCATTAGTGATCAGTCTATTTTAGTTAAGCACATTAGCATTTATTTAGAATATCAATGCTTAGCTTTTAGAATTACAGAGTCAAAAGAGTATTATCTTTTTTTTTGACATTTCAGACTTAAAATAGTTACAAGAATATATGTATGTTGATTTATTAAAAACTGTTCTACAGATAGATACTGGAAACCACAGTCCTCCCCAAATATTATATTTCATTTTAATTTTACCCTTAACTTTGGGCTCCCTTAACCTCTTTGCATTTTTTTTTTTTTTTTTGGTAAACAGTATAACATTGCTGTAGAATGTCTCTGAAGTTCCATCTTAGAAGATCCATAATTCTATAAATAAGGTTTCATCTAAGTTATTTTCATATAAAAGCAAGTGTATTTATGTGTATGTGTGTGTTATATAATATTAAAACAGCAGTGGAACAAGTAATTTTAAATAAATTTAAATTTTATTTTCCATCAATTTAGTTCATTCTCACATCTACTGAGAATCCTGATAAATTTTGATGGTTATTCTTTTGGATATAAGATAAATGAGAAATGAGCTACTTTCATGCAATATTGTTTTGGTTTCTTACAGATTATGAAGTTAGAAATTGATGAGATTGCAGCACCTCGATCGTTTATTTTTCTCTGGTGTGGTTCTGGGGAGGGATTGGACCTTGGAAGAGTGGTAAGGTGATTTTTTTAAAGTGGAATTTTAAGTTCAGAAGAAAAAACTGAAAATATTTTGCATAAGAAGTTTGAAGGTTGTTATTTTATCTTTTGTTTCTTAGATAGTTCTCAAATAATTCAGAAGGAAAAAAATGTACAGAAAAGAATGAAAGACAGTACCCATTAATCAGTTAACTAGCAAGAGGGATAAATGTAGCTCTTTAAAAATATAATTTACTTAAAATAAAGAAAAATATGTATAAATTATTACAACTGCAGGAAGAAAATAGTTTAGAGATTTGAAACTGTGAATTAACCAACTCAAAAATAAGCTAGTCAATGTCATTTACTCCTCTTTATGAGCAGCTAAAAAGTGTCATTCTGAATAGCATTGATTACTGAATTCTAAATTGAAGTATAATCAAACTGGAGAAGTGACATAGTATATGGAACACATATTTTGAATGAATGAATGAATGTGAGAAAAAAGTTTTAACACTCAAACTTATTTTAGGTACTTTGTATTAGTTGGATTTCAGAGCTTTTTTTTTTTTAATTGTATTTTGCTAAAAGGAAACAAAATAGCGTATGCTGTTTTAATAAAAAATAATGGGATTGTTGTGATGACGTATCAAGAGTCTTCAGTTTGGGCAAACCCTGTACTCTTACCGTGACTCTATTCCTGGCACTTGAGGAAGCCAAGGCAGGAGGATCCCTTAAGCTCAGGAGTTCAAGACCAGCCTAAGCAAGAGTGAGAATCAGGCTCTACTAAAAAAGAAAAATGAGCCTAGTATTGTGGTGGGTACCTGTCATCCTAGCTAGTCAGAAGACTGAGGCAGGGGGATAGCTGGAAGTTTGAGGTTGCAATGGCTAGTTTGAGGCCATGGCACCCTAGTGTGGACAACAGAGTGAGACTGTGTCAAAAAAATAAAAAAAAGAAAAGAAAAGAGAGAGAGAATCTTCAATTTTGGTCTCAATTCAGGTACTATTCAACCGTGAGACTTTGGGCAAAAAGGTCCTTCTAGGAGTCTCAGTTTGAGGCTGTTGGGTTACATCATTGCTTCTGTCATTTATTAACTTAAAGAGTAAGACTTTAACTGTATTTTAATTAGGTATCTTTTTCTTCTTCTTTTTTTTTTTTTTTTTTTTGGTGGTGGTGGTGGCGCCCCAAGATGCTATGGCAAATTAAGATAGAAAGAAATGTACCATATGTGTTTACAGGTTTATTGGTATTTACTTTTTTTAACTTTAATGTCTGCCTTTCGTCTTTTCTCCCACACCCTGAATTAGGTTGAAACTGATGAAGAGGTTTTGTTTTATTTATTTGTGTAGCAGTTTATCATATTAGTGAAAGCAGAGTTTGGCCAAAAGTGACTATAAAAATAATTCAGCATGAGAAATACTCTTGAGCTTTTGGTCAATTAGTAGATTAGATCATGTAGGATTAGGTTACTATGATGTTACTGAACACCAGTTCTAAGTATATATTTAGTGATAGGAATAGGTATTGATTTTGAGATTTTAAAATAAAAATCTAAGTTTTTATTTTGAAGTGTATCTCAGTTTACACAATGAACATTTCTGAAAAGTGTGTATGTTTTATGCTTCACTGTATCTTTATATGTACTTAATCATAGTACTAACCATATTGTAATATGCCATTTATTTCCCCTCATTTATTCTTTTTTCTTTTTTGCAGTTTTTTTTGGCAGGAGCTGGGTTTGAACCCGCCACCTCCAGCATATGGGGCTGGTGCCTTCCTCCTTTGAGCCACAGGCGCTGCCCCCTCTCATTTACTCTTAACGTGACTTGGGATAGGGACTGTATGTTATTTGTGTTTTAATTCCCAGCAACTAGACAGTAGCTCAGCAGTTCTCAACCTGTGGGGCGTGACCCCTTTTTAACAAAGAAAGTGCATTGCGGCGTTAGGAAGGTTGAGAACCACTGCTGAGTAGCTGCTTATGTTAGGCTCTCAGAATTGGTTCGGCCAGTATTTGTTGTATTTGTATATATTACAGATCCTAGGACACTAAAGTTCATAAATCTACTTTCTAGATTTTATAAAGATGAAAGTATAATTTTACCCAATAAGATGTATATGTAACAATTTTAAGTCAAAACTTTTTGTGGTTGTTAGCATTAAATATAAAATTAAAAGTTTAGGGCAGCGCCTGTGGCTCAAAGGAATAGGGTGCTGGCCCCATATGCCAGAAGTGGCGGGTTTAAACCCAGCCCTGGCCAAAAAAAAAATTTTTTTAAGTTCTCATTTGAAAGGAAGTTATCATTATCAGTTAGAACATGTTCAACAGTGTATAGCTTTGTAAGAAAAATAGAAAATTGAGGTGGCAGGAATCAAATTATCTTTTGGACTATTTTGCGATAATAGAGGGTCAGAGTATTTTCTTACAATTTAAAACCTAGTATTGGGTGGCACCTGTGGCTCAATGAGTAGGGTGCCAGCCCCATATACCAAAGGTGGCGGTTCGAACCTGGCCTCGGCCAAACTGCAACAAAAAATAGCCAGGTGTTGTGGTGGGTGCCTGTAGTCCCAGCTACTCGGGAGGCTGAGGCAAGAGAATCACCTAAGCCCAAGAGCTGGAGGTTGCTGGCATCACAGCTCTCTAAGGAGAACAACAAAGTGAGACTCTGTCTCTAATAAATAAATAAATAAATAAAACCCAGTATAGATGAGAATAGAAGGTAGTATTAAAGAATTTGGGTGTGGGGTGGCGCCTGTGGCTCAAAGGAGTGGGGCGCTGGCCCCATATGCTGGACGTGGTGGGTTCAAACCCAGCCCCTGCCAAAAACTGCAAAAAGAAAAAAAAAAGAGAATTTGGATATGATTAAGTTTCAGTATTTAACTATATATGCATATTAATGTCCAGAAGGCATATATGTGATTCTGTATTATTTCTGTATATTTGAAGACTGGCATTTCTTTTCTTCTATATTATACTAACAAAATTACTGTAACACCTTGGAATTTAGTGTCTCAAGTTTTTTAATACTGGTTGGTTATTTCTTTAAGTATTGTTTTTTTCTTTAAGTTAAGGAGTTTTTAATTCTTTGATTTCTAGTGTTTACGAAAGTGGGGTTACAGAAGATGTGAAGATATTTGTTGGATTAAAACCAATAAAAACAATCCTGGGAAGACTAAAACTTTAGATCCAAAGGCTGTCTTTCAAAGAACAAAGGTAATTACCTTTTTTGTTTTGTTTTTGTGATTTTTATTATTTTAATCAAGCTTTTCTAAATCACATCTATTTAATTAATTTTGGTGGGAAGGTCCTTTTCTTAGATCTGTAAAAATAGCATTGAGCATTATGGGAATACATCCAGGATGTTTTTAAAGTACTATATTTTAGTCACTATCTTAGCCTGTCCCCCATCGTGCTAGAGAGGGGAGTCTTTATTCCTATATGTCGTCAACTGCTGTATTTCTAAGTTAGATATGGGCTTTTGATAACCTCTGACCCCTGTAATTTTTCCCTTTGTTTGGGCTTAGAAGATGGGAACAAGACTCATAACTGGCTAGCTTAGAGATATATTTCTCTTCTTCCCTTCTTTTTCCTTTATGAGTTCTCCTCTGAGAACTACTTTATGACTGACCCACTAGTATTAGGCTTTAATAGTTTTTGTTCTTTATTCTTTAAGGAGCTGTTGGTGGGAAGGTCTTTCTTGTTAAATCTTTCTTAGACTGGAATCATGCCTGTGTAATGAACCCTCCATAGAATCCCAAGGACAGTATCTGTAGAGCTTCTGGGTTGGTGAACCTGTGGAGTTGCTAGGAGGGTGGTATTCCTGGAAAGGGCATATTAATAGAAGCTTCTCCCATTTCCTCTTCTTTTCCCCCAGAGATGCTTTATGCATCTCTTCCATCTGGCTGTTTCTGAGTTGGATCCTTTTATAATAAACAGGTAAAGTCTTATTTAAAGGCTTTTCTTAATTCTATGAGCTATTCTAACAAATGTCCCCCAAGAAGGTGATCATGGGAGCCTCCGAATTATTGACTATCAGAATCAGAACGTGGACTTGTGATTGGTATCTGAAGTGAAGAGCAGTCTTGTGTGGCTAAACTCTTGACTTATGCATGAGGTCTACAGTAACTAACTAGTGTCAGAATTGAATTGAATTCCAATGTTGTTGGAGAAGTGAGGAATAGCTTGGTGTGGGAATCCCACACATCTGATGTTAAAAATGACGTGTTCTGAGAGTGTTGTGAGAGTATACAAGAATACTATTTTTCCTATTTATATGGTAATCTTGACTTATCCTGAGATCTGAGCTTTCTTACCATGTTTTTGTGTGTAGAACTGTATTATCAAAGATTCAGAGAAATGAGGGTTTTTTGGATTGAGGACATAAAAAACTAAAATATTGTGAAATATTACTGCTGATGAAAAGAGATTAATTGATCCGTTCTTGTTATTTAGGAACATTGCCTCATGGGGATCAAAGGAACTGTGAAGCGTAGCACAGACGGGGACTTCATTCATGCTAATGTTGACATTGACCTAATTATCACCGAAGAACCTGAAATTGGCAATATAGAAAAACCTGTAGAAATTTTTCATATAATTGAACATTTTTGTCTTGGGAGAAGACGCCTTCATCTATTTGGAAGAGATAGTACAATTAGACCAGGTAGGACCTCACTTTAAAAAAAATAGCTTTATGATTCCTTAGGATACAGGTATTAAGAAGCAGGACATGCTGCTGTATAAAATGAAATTCTTATGTATTTGAATCCCCTTTTTTTGCTGTACTTCAAATATGTGCAGTTTTAGGTTCACAGGAAAATTGAGAGGAAGGTATGGAGAACTGTTCTCCCTGTGCCTGCACACGCAGCCCTTCCCAGTTATCAGTATTCCTTACCCTAAAGGTATGTTTGTTACAGCTGATGAGCCAACTAACACGTCATAGCCACCCCATGTCTGTAGTTTACACTAAAATTTACTCTTGGTGGTGTGTGTTCTCTGAGTTTAGACAAATGTAAAATGATGTATATCTGTCATTATAGTATCATACTGAGTAATTTCATTGCCCTGAAAATCCTCTGTGCTGCACTTCCTAGTCCGGTCCTCTCCTCACCCCCTGGCAATCACTTGATTTTTTTTACTGATTCCATAATTTCCCTTTTCCAGAATGTCATATAGTCGGAATCATACAGTATGTAGCCTTTTCACATTGGCTTCTTTTATTTAGTAATATAAGGTTCCTTCCTATCTTTTCATGACTTGATAGCTCATTTCTTTTTAGTGCTGAGTAGTATCCCATTTTCTGGTTGTACCACCATTTATTTATCCATTTACATACTTGCATTTTAGTGCTGAAGAGATCCCATTTACCTACTGAAGGGTGTCTTGTTGCTTCCAAGTTGCCACAGTGCTGCACCATTCTGCATTTCCATCTGCAGTAAGAGTTGCTGTCGCTGAGCATCAGCACCAGCACTTGGTGGTCGTGGTGTTCTCGATTTTGGCCATTTTCATGTGTGTGTGGTGATAGGTTGTTTTAGTTTGCATATCCCTGATGGTGTGTGGTGTGGAGCATCTTTTTGTATGCTTAATGCTATCTGTAGGTCTTCTTTCGTGAAGTATCTCTTAAAGCCTTTTATCATTTTTATTAGGTTGTTCACTTTCTTATTATTGATGTTTAAGAGTTCTTTGCTTATTTTGGGTAGCAGTCTTTTTCAGATGTGTTTTTTACTAGCACTTTGTCCCAATTTGTACTTGTGGTCCCATTCTTTCTTTACATGTTTTGATTTAATTAATTAATTTCTGCTCTTATTTTTTGTTTTCTTCTCCTGCTTTCTCTGAGTTTATCTTTTATCTGAGGTATGTTTTGATTATTGGTATTAAGCTTTTTCATATTATAGTGTTATATTTAGACCTGTAAATTTCTCTAAGCACAGCTTTACTGCATTCCAAAAGTTTAACATGTAATTTTTTTATTATTTCAAAAATAATAATTATCTAATTTTCATTGTTATTATATACTTAATCCATTGGTTAGTCACTATTGTGTTGCTTTATTTTATTTTATTTTTTGAGACAAGAGTCTTACTTTGTCATCCTCGGTAGAGTGCCATGGCGTCATACTCACAGCAACCTCAAACTCTTGAGCTCAAGTAATTCTCTTGCGTCAGCCTCCTGACTAGCTGGGACTACAGGCACCTGCCACAACGCCCAGCTATTTGTTTAGAGACAAGGTCTCACTCTGTCTCAGGCAGGTCTTGAACCTGTGAGCTCAGGCAATGTACCCGCCTCGGCCTCCCAGAGTGTTAGGATTACAGGCATATTTTTTTTAATTTATTTATTTTTTGCCTAATATTGTTGTCAGATAGCACAGATTGATTTCAGTTCTTTGTAATTTGTTGGATTAACTTTATGACTCAATGTAATAAATATTCCAAGTCCATTTGAAATGAACATGTACTTTATTTTTGTTTTGGTTATAGTATTGTGTGCTAGTTAAGTCATTAGTTGTCTTCACTGATAGTTTTAAACTACTTAGTTTGTTGAAATCTGTTATGGTGGTTTTCTTTATTTAGTTGTCAAGTTTTTTATTTATATCTATTTGGGGCTCTTATTAAGTACATTTAAAATTTTTATGCCTTCCTGGTAGATTGATCTTCTTAATACTTACTGAAATGTCCTTTCTTATCCTGTGTTTTCTGCCCTAAATTCTACTTCATGTGGTATTATTGCAGTTATTCCAACTTCTTAGGTTTGTGTTTATATGGCATATTATTTTCATTCATCTACTTTCAGCTTTGCAACCATTACATTTAAGGTCTATCTTTTATGATTAAATATACCGTTCAATTTATATTTATTTAATTAGACTGTTTAGTCAATCTGTATGTAATGTAATTCTTGATTCATTTGGTATATATTACCATCTCACTATTTTACAATGACACCATCTATTTTGTGTTCCTCTCTCTCTTATTTCTTTTGGATGATTAATTATTATTCCATTTGTCCTTTTCATTAGCTTGTTAGGTATTCTTTTATTCTTTCATTGGTTATCTTGGAGATTGCAGCATGAATCCTTGAATTATTAAAGTCTAAATTAAAATCGTATTGATTTTTAAAGAGTGAGAATGATATGATTTAATCTGTATAGTTTCCTTAATTTTTTCAAAACAACTTTTCCTCAATATACTTAGAGATCATGCATATGTTATTGTATACATAGTATATATACAGGTATTGCATGAACTTAGAGTTGTTAAGACTTCCGCAAATATACATGAACAACTTATTTGGAAGTTCTGTGGATGTTTTTACTTTCTTAATGAAAGTAAAAATATTTTGGCAACAGATTTTGTAGCTTAAGATAAAGTAATGTCACAGATATTCAACTAGAGAAGTGTATTAAGAAAGCATAGGTGTTCATATAATATCAAGGTTATGGCTCTGATTTTGTAATTAAGAAACAGATTTTTCTCTTCCACCATTAACCTATCCTGCCCCCAAATAGCACCTGAATATGGGAATAATCATCAGTGCCAATTGCTTTTTTAAGGAAACAAAAAACATAAGAAAAAACAAAACCATTTGAAGAATAAAAGCAAACATCAGATGGTAATCTTTTAATAATTGAAAAGTAAAAGTAACAACATTTAGGAGAGGTTTGAAGAGGAAAAAAGTCAATCTCGCTACCTCTAAGAATTACTTTGATTTTTTACATGGTACTATCAGAACCTGTACATATAAATTTTTACATAATTGTAGTCATCATTTTGTATTTTTCCATCAGTATTGTATCAGATATTTTCTCCATTTTAAATAATTATTCATAATCATTTTTAATGGCCTTATAGTATCATTTTAATGATCTCTATAAATTTTTTTTAAATGAGTGGAAGAACCTAAGGAGGCAGTAGATAATGTTAAGTGTAGGTATTATAAGTATAAGAAGCAACTAAAACAGAGATTTTGCCTCATGCCAATTCTTATTTATGATTTAATTTTCAGAGGGGGTTCTTCATCCAATTAGTTGTGGCCACTCTGCACACTTTGGTTATATTAAATATTATGTCTTTTAAGTAGGATATCTTCTATTTTTATCTGTATCAGTTAAAGTCTTCGAGGCACAAATCTAACTTATTACTTATAAGCTTCATCTAATGCTTTACTCTTGCCTAGTATTACAAAAATTATTTTAGTATTAGCTGTAGTAAGATAAAATTAGGAAGAAAAGTTTCCTTAGTGTTTGGGGGTTAATCACCTTAATAATATTAATAGTAGGGGCAATTGAGAGAGTCTGCTCAAGAGGCTTTAATTTATTTAGGCTGAGCCGTCAAATACACTGCTTCCTCAAGAAGGTATTCTAAGCTATTTCACATATGTACCATGGAAATACCATTTTGCCATGGCTTTAAAATAGAAGTTAAAAGTAGCTGTATGAATCCAATTCATTGTGATGCCAGGCTGTTTTAACTTTACTCTGCTCTTTGTGATATCTTTAGAACTTGTATAAAACACTAATGTTGTAGTTAAGAATTTGAGGGGGTAGGGAATGAATCTTTGGGCTTCTATAACCAGTTTACTCGGCAAAGATTTGCATGTTTTATTTGCTTAAGAGGCCATATGACAGGGAAGAGGCAATATTAATTATTTTTACTATATCTTTAAATTTTCTGTTTCTTACTCCTTGTCTGTGTGTCAGATGCCACAGTACCACACAGATGCCAAGAAACAAACCAGAAGAGAGCAAGTAAAAATCTCACAGATTGAACAGTCAGTGTGATGGCAGAGTGTGGAATGTGCTTATTGATCTGGTGTGTCTTCTGTCATTATCATGGCATCTACTAGTTGATAACTAAAAAGAACAATATGGTAGATCTTTTTTTTTTTTCTTCAAATGACATTTGAAGAAACAGTATTTATGCACTGTTAGATACTGAAGATTTCTTAACAAAGTATCATACACAAATGGCTACTATGTTTTCCTAGCAGAATATTTTTTCATTTTATGGCAATTTTTTTTTCTTTTTGAGACAGTCTCACTTTCTTGCCCTTAGTAGAGTGCTGTGGTGTCATAGCTCACAGCAACCTCAAACTCTTGAGCTCAAGCGATTCCCTTGCCTCAGCCTCCTGACTAGCTGGGACTACAGCCACATGCCACAGCTCCTGGCTATTTTAAGAGACGAGGTCTTGTTCTTGTTCATGCTGGTCTTGAACCCATGAGCTCAGGCAATCCACTGCCTTGGCCTCCCAGAGGGCTAGGATTACAGGTGTGAGCCACTGTTAAAGGCCTCATTTTATGGCAATTTTTGATGCATCTAATATTCTAAGAAGTAACATTGAGGGTGATGAGGCAGAGATATTGTATATCTAATTTTATAAATAAAGAACCTAATCCTTAAAGATTTGACCTATTCCAAAGGATCTCATGTCTCTTGTAATACTCCAGAGGCATATTTCCAAGACTCTTCTCAAAATATGTACCAATTATAAGAATTACCACACCCAAGGAAATCCCAAAGCATGGTGTTTCTATTGAGTGTTCATAGTTAATTTCTAGTTCCTCCCATTCCAGATACAGTTTAATTAATCAGAAAATATCCTTATAAGCAAAGTTGTCTAGCAATGTAATTGACAAAAATACCTTTTTACTTATAGAAGTATAATGTACAATAGAAATTCTGAGAAGAGAGAAATAATTTTCATTTCATATAGAAAGTATATTTGAATTGGATGTTGAAGGGTGAGATTTTAATAAGTCAGCTGGATAGAAAAGAAAATAATACGGGCACAAAGTAGGGGTTAAACAAAGGTTTGTGGAAAGCATTAATGAGAAGTGATTGGAAAGTTAGTTCAAGACTTAACATTTTGTATTTATGAATTTGGGCTTTGTGTAAAATCTAGAATGTTTTTAAGCAGAGAAGTGACATGTTTTAAGCTTTGCTTCAGATTTTTTACTTTTAGAGGGAAGAGCAACTAGAAGTTGGGAGATGATGACAATATACACACGTGTATCTGTTACGTGTTGTGGTATAGTAGAGGACTGTCCTTGTGAAAAATAAGTTTAAGTTTGAGGGTGGCAGTCGCAATGAAAAGATGGGAATAAATAGGGGCAACATGGCAGTGGTTGAGTTTCTAGGACACATCAGTGAGAATACAGCAAAAGTTGGTTCCAAGATTTTAACCAAAAAATGATGGTACCATTTCCATAAGGAGAAGGGTACATAAGTTAATAAATATTTCCTGAGCTCAAATTCAGTATAACGTGTGATATAATTTGTTTTTCTGAGCACTATTCTCACAAAAGACAGAATATGGATGGAGACAATGAGAAGGATATATTACAAAAGTTACAGTCTAGGAGGAGAAGCAACATATGTAAATATGACATCTTTAAAATATGACCATAGTGCTGTGCATTCTGTATAATAGAGATCAGTATAGGGTGAGTGATGGGGACATCTTTAAGACTACATTGGGGATTTGACCTAGTCCCTGAAAGTTAAATAAGAAAGAACTGAAAAGAAAAAGAATAATCTTGTTTTCCCTCCGTTTCAGGCTGGCTCACAGTTGGACCAACACTTACAAATAGTAACTACAATGCAGAAACATATGCATCCTATTTCACTGCCCCTAACTCCTACTTGACTGGATGTACAGAAGAAATTGAGAGACTTCGACCCAAATCACCTCCTCCCAAATCTAAATCTGATCGGGGTGGTGGAGCACCGAGAGGCGGAGGTAGAGGTGGCACTTCTGCTGGCCGTGGACGAGAAAGAAATCGATCTAACTTCCGAGGAGAGAGAGGTGGCTTTAGAGGGGGCCGTGGAGGAGCACACAGAGGTGGTTTTCCACCTCGATAAATTTTGAAGACATTGATCCTGTTAATGCCTCTCTAACTGTCTTTATTATCATTTTCATTTCAAGTGGGAAACTTACTTTAGAACTTAATTCAAGCTTGCACCTTTACTTTGGTTTCTCTGAGCTGAAGGCATCTTAGTCAACCTCCTTGCAGTTGTCGACACACTATCTGGTTTTGTTCAGGATAAATGAACAATTCTGCCTCTTGTCATCTACATGAACAGAATGGAGCAACACAAGTAGACTTCAGAGACTGAATCTGTTCTGATAAATTCCAACTACTTACAAAAGTTTTGCTTTTTAGAAATAGTTGAACAGTTGGAAAAGGTCCAGTCTGTGGTATCATGGTGGTGCCCACAGGAGTGGGTAATGTGCATCCTCCCACTGCTATCGTAGCAAATGGGGAGCTTTCTGGGAGCCTTGACAGAGTGGAGTTGGGACAGATGGTGAGCTTTCGTCAGAGTTTTAATGTTTTCTTGATGAAAGAATAAAAAGAGGTAGGCTTCTTTTTTTAACCTTAAATAAATTCAGATATGATTAAGTATTGAAGAAGTTGAGAGACTTTGAACAAAATCACCTCCTCCCAAATCTGATCTGATAGGGGAGGTAGAGATCCCAGGAGTGAAGCAGAACTTGATAGACAGACTTAAAAAAAAAGTAATGAAAAAGCTCATTGTCATAATCTCAATTATGTAGTGACGTATGACTCTTAATCGTGCTTCCTAAGATCCAAACGAGGACAGATATCTAAGAGCTAGAACTCTGGTGTAGACATATTCCTTAGCAGAATAAAGTAACAGAGGTAACAACAGAGATACCTGGTCATCAGATGTTTGGTTTGAACATTTTGTGGAATAAAGTATGTGGGACAAGGGAATGACATACATCTTCAAACTTGTTATGGAGAAAATTTAATGTAAAATCAATTATAGAAAACTCTTAAGAATACAGCTCAGAAAATGAACTGCAGTTGCCTTTTACTAATAATAAAGCTTTGTGTTGTTTCTAAGGGGCTGGTCATGCAGATCTGTTAGTTGTGTAAGGCTTCATGCTGTCATTTCTTTTTCTATACTGTAATTCATGTTTTAAACAAATTTGATGAATGATATTATGCCATTATTGTTCCTCCTGAGTACTTTTTTATTGTGTTAAAATATTTCTAATGAAACTTGAATCCTTTGAAATTTGAGAATCTGCTTTCTGTAAATGGAATTCCTGTTGTTATTTACAAAATGAAAAGACTGACCCAAAATCAAACTGTTCTTTTGGTCTTTGGTGCATTTTATTGACTCTCTTGTGCTCTGACTACACCTAAGGTGAGGTTATCCACTAAAGATTTGGTTTGAAGATAACGACTGAATAATAGAGGGCTGAGATTTTTAAAAGCCTGATGAATTAACTTGATCAGTCTTTTAGTAGTATTTGAATAACACCTTTTGTAATGTAGATACTATGTATCATAGTTGGTTATAGTTTTGGGGAAATGGTATATTTTCAATGTCAGTAAAATTATAAATTATCTACAGTTAGAACTATGGATGTCAGGGTTCTAATTTTAGATTATTCTAGTGAGTGAAGTCAAGACAGAGAAATTTCCAGTTGCTCATTTCTAATTGTCCTTAGAAATGTTGGCTGAGGAGCAGCCCTGCCCTATAAACTAGACTCTTATGTTCTTTTCCCCGGATCTATCCAAAGTGAAGAGGCATTCCTGGTGCCTAGCTGATGTAGACACTGTGAGGTTTGTATCACAAGGTCTTCTTCACAGAGACACAGGAATGGCTTCTTGGTAGGTTCAAGGTTAAGGGGAGCCACAGCTTACCAAATAGAGAAAAAGAGTTGGTAGAGAAAGAATGCAAACCTAGAATTTATCCTTTTGACAATGAATCTAGCCTTTTTAATAACATAACAAAAATTATTTAATAACTTTTAAGTAACTAGTTTCACTATCTTTCAGTAAAGGTTGAGATATTTTTACAACAGGATTATCTATTTGTTGAAGACAGGGTTCCAAACAAAAGTGATTACTCTGAGCTCTTCTGATTTTTAATCCTGTTTGTATTTACATGTGTTGCATTTTCACAAAATTATCTAGAAACAGATTTTCACTTGCTTCACTGATTCTTTATTGGGGATAGAAGCTAATAAGCGAAATAATCCTGTATTTTTTCAGTTTAAGAAAACGTGAGTTTATACAAAATTCCTAGGTATTCCAAGCTAACAGTGGGAGCCATTCTACCTGTGACCCTCCTGCCTTTAGAGTTTGCATGCGTGAGTTTATACAAAATTCCTAGGTATTCCAAGCTAACAGTGGGAGCCGTTCTGCCTGTGACCCTCCTGCCTTTAGAGGGTGGGTATTAGGCCCAGAGTGCTGCATGAGTAGAAATACTTTGCTCCTCTTCTTCACTCTGGAGAAGAAATAAGCCAGGTAGTTGATGTCAGCTAGCAGATTTTGGGGTGGGGATACCACGGTATACCCATACATAAGTAAATCAGATTAGACCAAGGAATTGTGGAGATAGCAATGTAGATTGGTCACCATGAAACAGTACGGTGTGAGAGGTCAAGGTGTATGTAGTACTGGAAAGTGGGACTCCAGCACTGAGTCTGGCATGACAACCAGGTCACAGATCCAAAGGTGAAAGGGATCAGTACTGGTTCTTTGTGAGCCCTTTGCTCAGAGCTCTCTGATCCATACCCAGGTCAGTGCCATGCCATGGTTTCATTTAAATTAGTGAAGTGTAATACCTGGGAGCCACAGTGTGCCTCTGTGTTATGCCTATTACTAGGAGGAATTCCTTTTTAAGTCTTTTAAAATACTTTCTACCCATCTTAATTGTTTATATCTTTTAGTTATAACAGCTTATTTCAAAACGTACTGTTTTATCCTAAATTTGGAACGTAAGATTTAGTCTTTGAAGTATAGTTTCAGATGTTACTAATTTGTTTAATAAAATCCTTATTTACTTGACAGAATGAAAGCTCAGTAGGGACGGTAGTCTTTGATCTGAAAGTCTCTCATATTTTTGTGATCTAGTAAAAACCTTTGCTTATTAGAAAGGCCTTTCTTAGAACAAGGGTTAGAATCTTGGGGCTCATGTAGGACTATTATCTTGTCTCTAATGGGACAGAGCCTGAACTTTTAGCTGAGGTCTCAAGTCTGTGTAGTCAGTTTTGAAGCTTTGAATCTAGAACTTCCCAAAAGGTTAGAGTACTTACCAGGCAAGCGGAGCCCATTGGAGACTCCATTTCTGGGTTACCACCCTGTGTCTGCTCTCAAGGCCTCCATCATTTACTCGGGTACAGGCAGTCATGGGTTACAAATGAGGTAAGTTGTATAGGTTTGTTCTTAAGTTTAATTTGTGTCTAAGTTGAAACAGGTATGTTAATCTATTACCTCTGGTAGCCTTCATTCATAAATGTGGGTTGTACCTCAGATGTTTGTAACTCAGGGACTTACTGTAATAGCCTCTGTGTGAATTGTAAGTTGGATATTTGTAACTCTGGGACTGCCTGTATAAAATTACTAGCTATAATGCATCAACTCATTTAATGTACATATGGATAATTTGGACGTCTTTTTCAAGTAAACCCTTTCTCCAATATTGGACAAAATATTAAAATGATCAGTTTGAGCTGTGTTACAGTTCTTGCTTCTCGGCTAAGTGTTAATAAACAGTGAAAATCAGGTAAGTGAGGTTTTTTCCAAAAGTACTTCTAAAGAATTGAGAATCTGGAAGTGAACAATGTGAAATGCACAAAGAAACCAAGTATATAATATAAATCAGTGAAGCAGGCCAGGAGTTTGGGTTTTTAATGGAATAATTATCTTTCTAAGGCATATCATGTGCAAGTTAAACACACGGAGATACTTATCTTTACTCATTTTCTTCTCCCATGTATCTTATCTGTTCTGTTTCCCACTTTGATGAGCTTTCTCTGCTCCTGTTTGAGAGAAGTGGAGCAGCTCAGATGCCTTAGTAAACAGCCACTGACTCGCTGTGGAGGCTACAGAGATAGGGTGGGGACTGGAGACCACCTACCCTGGTGTAGGTAGGTGGACTACCCTCGTCACTCCAGCTAATTGTCACCACAGAGGAAAGAGGGCAAGTCTGAGGTGTTCATACGAAATCTACCTGATCTTTAGAGGCTGACAAGATAGTTTGTGACTTTTGCTTATACTTTACTTTTGTAAAATTAAAATTTCTTAAAATTAATTTGGCTAGCTAAATACTGCGTGAATATTTAAAATTCTGGCCTCCAAATACTGCGGGACCAAATTTACTAAAGAGAAAGAAGTTAACTTGGTTGGAACGGGAAACCATCACCCTTGAAAGCATATTGTATAGTTGACTTCCTTTGGAATATGCAAAGCAGGATGAAAATGTTGACTAATACTTCCAAGTTGCAAACAGTGAAGTGATGGCAAGCCATTGACTGTCCAGTGGGAAAAAGCGTAGAGACCTACCTGGGCTTGTGACAAAACACACTGTTTAGAGAATCCTATACTTGTACAGATTTTTAGTTTACAGCTGTTAGTATTGTAAGGATGAATACTGCATCATCAGCCTGCCCTTTGTGTGTTATTTTGGAAAGCAGGGGACGAAAAGTTAAAACTCAATTTTTTGTTCAGATATAACTAGTTTAATAAATCAAGGTAATTGGCTTAAATGTCTTGTGTAATTGGCTGTCCTTTTTGTAGGCCCATGCTTTTCAGGACAACTTCTGGGTAGGCACATACTTTAATTTTTTAAAACAGAAGCTTTTAATGTATTCTTCAAACATGAGTAATAGATATTTAGTTTTTCATGGACCCAAGGCATACCTCAACTTGAAATAAACTGACTTTAAAAACTAAAGTCTCATTCTAAAAAGGTCTCAAAGTTGCAAATTTTCATTGCGGTAGAGTTTTGTTAAGTGGTAACAATTTTTTTAAAAAATCATAACAGCATTTCCTGAACATTCTTGTATAACTTTGTATTCTTGAGACTGGATCTGCAGTCATTATTATAGTTTCCTTAACTAAACACTTGTAATTTTGCCTCCCCAAATTGACTTTTTTCTTTATGTGATTTAAAACTGGATTGTAATGTATTAAGTTTGGATGACAGTGGCTCTGGAAATCATGTTGTGAAGGTATATTTTAGTAACTGGCTGAGTTTAGCTTGGACAAGACAGGTAAGGATATGTCACAGCCTTTGAACTATCTGAAAACTGCTGTTAAATAGAGGAGGAATTCACTTCTGGCCTCAAAAGACAGAGCACTTGTACCAAGAGAGAATTTTCAGGAAAAGTCTGCTAAATATAATTTA